TTACTTTATTTGTGATAGTAAAAATAAATCATGGTGATTTAGATATTCAAATGGGAAAATTTGATCTTTCATTTTCACACAAGCTTGAACATTTCCTTATTTTTATTTACTTTGCATGTAATCTCTTGACAGGAAGAAACACTTTTTTGTCTCTCATTTAATTATTTAAACTTGAGCCTACAAATGGGCTGTTTAAGATATACATGAAAATCACACAATATGTCCAATTCCATTCATCTTTGGTACAAGTGGTACCCAGCAATGAAACAACTCTCTTAGTGTGTGATCATATATCTACCAAAAATACAACAGAACTAATAAGTGGCTTGGTTCCTTTACTTATATATTGAGACTCAGGTACTCTGGTCCTGATTAATCATCACAATACATTAAGCTAATTAGAATTGTATTATTTATTAATTGTATTGCTAGTGTTCAGGAAAAGGTCAAAAGATGCTTAGATTGAAAATGTAAACAATCAGACATCGCAACATCTTTTCAAGGACATAAACTTGGATTTGCGTTGTCCTACAGTTGGCCATGATTCAAAATTAATAGAGAAAAAAATGAAGAAACTTAGCCACATTCTAATGGTTCACTTGTTTGATACAAATACAATCTTCATTATACTGGGGAAGGGTTATAAGTTATTCTGAAATCAAAAAACCAAGATTAAAAGAGCTCTCATATTAAATCGCCAAGACCAAACTAATTAATTGACCTATCCAAATGTGCCAGTGTTGGTCAACTATTTTTGAAGCCAAATGAAAGATACTGAAGCTTTTTTAAAGGTATAAGTAGCAGCTAGATGATAAAAATCTTAATTGTCATATTAAGTAGCATAACTTTTATTCTGAAATTCATAGTGCCAGCTAAATATTTTTAACTAAGGGAAATCATTGTGACAAAAACACACCCAAGATGAATTGAGGAAGATGAAGATAGCGACACAGGCTAAATTCTGGCAACATGAGCTGTCATTGTAATTTGAATGGTAGATAGAAGAGAATGTAAAGTCAAACAGGCTCTCTGGGGTGAAAAATATGTAATATTATTGGTATTATAACAACAGCTAGAATATAGTTCTTAAAATCAAGCAATTGGAGAAAGGTGAGCTATTTATTTGTTTATTTACTTAAGGAAAACACTTCGGGGTCTCTGACTGAAACGCTTTCCTGTCTTGCTAGTTTTTCTAATTCAGATAATGTCTTTGGGAAATGTTTTACTATAAACGAAATAATTAACTTTTTGAGAACAAAGAGACATAGATTTTAGTCTAGAACAATTAAATAATAAATACAACCTGGAGAAACAAGCTTTCTAAAAGAAATTCATATCTGGCTACCATCATTTGTGATCAAGCTATATATGACCATTCAAAAAAAAATCCTTTTTGAACCAAGCTGTGAAAAGTGAAAAATCTATCTGGTAATTAGAGACACTCATAAGTCACCACAAAGGGGTCACACTCTCAAAAAGAAGTGAGGTCAGTCACCTCTCTTGATCCACAAAGTAAAAAGTGGAAGAACAGAGATCAACATAATCCCCCCTCTGCACTTTAGAATTGTAAACATGCCTTTGATATGTTTCATATTCCTGGCCATTTATCCTTAGAGTAATAGTAACTAGAAAATAATCTAGGAGATCTACCAGGACATGTATGTTTCCTGTGTCCTCTTATACTGCATCTTAAATACTCTAAACTGTAAATGTTGAGTTGGAAGCATACAGTACATAATGCTTTCACAAATGCATCCCTCCCTGCTCTTCATTATTTGCAAATATTGTCAATATCATCAACAGAACCATCTCTCCTCTCTTTCCTGATCAGTTTTCTGCAACAGATTCCCATGACGGCTTATATCAGCATTTTTATACATTTCTTATTGAGAAAAAGGACTCATATGTATGACAGAGTAACTTATTGGCCAAAATCTCTCAAATATCTATTTATATCATAAATTAAAATTCTATGCCATCCAACAAAAGGCAAAATTACAGTGTCATAGAAGTCAATTACTATTTCCTATAGCTAGTGTTTTAGTGTGACAGTGTAGGTCATAAAAAGTACAAATAAAGCAGAACTATTTTAAAATTGCACCAATCTCCTTGATATTGGAATATTATAAAGCAAATAAAGGAATTAGTATAAAAGTTGAAAAAGAAGTTCAGTTAAAATTATTCATCTACACATTTCAATAAAAATATGAGCTAATGTGAAGGTGGAAAGTTTATAAAAACACTTAAGTTTATTAAGAATGAGATTGTGACATAAAACCACAGCTGATGCAAACCACTTGATAATCATTTTATGGTTCCTGGAATCACAGCACTTGAGCACTGTTTTACCCTGTTGCTTGCTCAGTGTTATTCTACATGAAGAAATTGTTTGATATTATTAGCTCAGGCTCAAATATTAATTCACTTATGAATTAATGTATGCCTTCTGATCTAGGTAACCCTTAGTGATCCGAAGAGGTGCATTCCTGAATTCAAAGTCTGGAAAGAAAAGCAATATATCGGACACTGACTGGCCAATAACAGGCAGAAGGTTGCAGCAGGATTCATGAAAGAAGCAAAGCTCTCACATATTTTTATTCTGTTATTGACTGGTGCCATGTAAAATTTATACCAGCCATAGCCCTAAAATGTATGGATTTTAAAATGTCAAAAATGACCCTTCCAGATGGGAACCCTAATTAAAGTCTTGGGCAGCATTGCATCACAAGAGCAATAGGACATGCAGAAATGCCATAGTCTAGTCAGTTACAATCAGAGGTTTTTGTGGAAAGGGGCTGGGAGAATGTCATGACACCACTAGAATAATTTTGGTTCAGCTAACAATTTGACGTATGACCTTGGCCATTTATTAACATCTGGGTCTTCATTTTTCTCATCTCATTTAGAACGGAGAAGGTCTTTTCTAGGTGACTTCTAAAACAAATTTTAGGCCAGTGACTGTCAGCTGATGTTCTTACCTGCTCCTGACCTTGTGCTAATCTCTTTATTCTTTCTTCATCTGCAGATACAAGTCAAATCTTCCATATAATTACAACAAAATCTAAGTGACTGTCAAGTCAATGAACTACCCTTTGGCTAATAATCAATAGTATCAAATTTCATAGTAACAATAAAAGTTGGGCATTAAACTTTTAGTTATAAGGACCTGGCTTACAATAAAATACAAGACAAGCTGAAGATATCATGCTATGTTATCAGTAAGAAAGGTAATAAAGCATCCATCTATTTTATTATACACAAACTGAGGAAAATGGTCACATGATGAGCCTGAAAACAAAATCAAATTATCTCCTTAACCACCCAGGAGGAAGAGCACAGTGGCACTTAGCTGAAAGATATAGATATAGATATAGATATAGATATAGATATAGAGATAGAGATAGAGATAGAGATAGAGATAGAGATAGAGAGATAGAGAGAGAGAGAAAGAAAGAGAAAGAGAAAGAGAGAGTAACAATCATGAGTCTATTGATATCAATCATACTTTTTTTTTTCAAGATATAGGGCTTCTCTGTGTAGCCCTGGACTAGCTCTGTATACCAGACAGGCCTTGAACTCATTGATCTGCCTGCCTCTGTCTCCCAAGTAGTGAACTTGAAGTCATACACCACCATGCACATCTACCAATAACCATTTTTAACATGCAAACTCTTCTTGTAACTAAGGGATAATTTTAAAAGCAAAATTAGTTAATGTTAATGTTTGAATATAGAAGTGTAGGGCTTTTATTCCTGGCTTCAAAGACCAGGCCCAAGAGATCATCACTATTTGACATTGACTCTTTTGTGTTCTACTTCTGCCTGAAAACAAAACAGATGTGTACACTTCTGAGGTGGTGTCAGAAGCATATCTCCCTGAGAAGATAGCAGTGCAATAACTAAGATGCAGGGTTTTCTTTTGTGCAAAGAAAATTGGTCAAGAAAATAGAGCCAAACTTAGTCAGGGAGAATTACCATCCTGAAGGGGTCAGGGTCTTTTCTGGGTAGCAAAAACAACACATATGTAGTTGCAAAGATTGACTAAATTCAGTGTTCTGTCCTCATACATAATTAAAACTAATTCATACACTGTATTATTTTTGGTTATTTGTATTTCTATTTTTCTTTTAAACTGGAGACACCATAATTGGTGATGTCTCTAATTACTTCAAGAGATTCTGGGAAGTTAACTGGGAAAGACAGGAGTAAATTTAATCACACAGTTAAATGAGAAACCAAAAAGAAACATTAAGGGTTAAAGTATAGTATAACATGTCAGGGAAAGTTTTCAACAACCAGAGCTACTCGGTTATAGAAGACAGGTCAAGGAGATGATAGATTCACAGTCAACCTGAAAGAACACTGATACACCTAAGAAGAAGGGTACCCAACTGGAGAATTGACCCCGGGGGCAGGCAGGACCATCAGGAGCAGCAACTGGCAACAACATGGTCTTCTCCCTTGGGAAGAAAGAGGACAGAAGCAACCTCCTCTCAAAATGATCCTCCCTGCATACCCTGGCTCCACCCAGTCACACAGACAGATTCTCTTTCCTCTCTCTCTGTCCTCAGATTAGATCCTTACTGTAACTACTGCCCTGGTGAGTCAGATCTGAGAGTCAGGCCTCGTTGAAAATGTCACATCAGGATGGGCAACAGACCCCGAAACACATCCTAGCTAAAGGAAAAAGTTGGAACAAGAAAAGTTAAGGAAAAAGCTGAGGTGAGCATAGCAACAGCATCAAGACACAGCCGGTCCCACCTGCTAAAGTAAATCTATTTGAGTGGGAGGTCGGTGGAGTGACTGTCACGGGGGGTGGAAAGAAAGGTGGGACAAGGGTCACTGGGTTTTCCCTACCCTACATGAAACCCCTTGAAAACCATCTCTACTGAGCTCCTGTCTTCCTCTTCATCTCAGGGGCTGTTGGAGGAAAGAACCAAAGTTTCAAGGAGAGTTGGAAGAGTTGAAGCCACAGGGAACAGTGCTAGGTTCAGGTCTTACCCTGGCGGCTCTGGATGAGTAGGGGTCTTCAAAGAGGGCCCACATGCGGGGCTGCAGCCTCCTCCAGCGGCCAGACTTGCCATCGGGTCCTCCCAGCCCGGCAGCATCCTCGATGCCCAGCCTCTTGGCCGCTAGGTCCTCATCGTCACCAGGGTCGCCCCCGATGAGGTCAGGCGTCTCGAAGATGTCCAGTGCCTCCTCCGCGTCACGGTGCTGCCTGTAGGTCATCCAGCAACAGGGCTCCACGTCGGTCTCGTCGATGCCCCAGAAGGCCAGCTCTTCCTCGAAGAGCGGCCCGCACACGTCGGCGGGGCAGTGCAGCTTGCCCGTGCGGTAGTAGTTGAGCACATAGGCAAAGACGCCTGGGTGGCGATCGAAGAAGAATTCGCGACCTCCCCCAGGGTGGTCGCTGCCATTGCCACCGTGGGAACTGCAGTTGCCCGCGCCGCCCTCGAAGCAGCTGCTGGGGACAGGGGACAAGGGAGGCGGTCGCGGCGGCGGAGAGAGCGGAGGGGGCAGCGGCTGCAGCTTGTCACCCGCGGCGGTCAGGCAGTCGCCCTGAGGTTCGGAGGAAGCGAGGAGGGCCAGGCGAGTTCCAGGAAGGGTCTTGAGGGTGCTGCGATAGGTTTCGTGCCGGGTACCGCCGACATTGAGGATTACCCTCTCGTTGTTCTCGATCTTGCCCATCTCTGTGGCTCAGACATGACTGGGGAAGGCGAACACAGCATCAAGTTAAAGCTCTCGTGGGTCATATACTCACCATGACCCCACCTACCCCCGCCTCAACCCAAGGGTGCCAAGATGCCTAGCTGGCAAGTGGGAAGGGCCCTCCCAGTAGGAGCCTGGTGTTCAGTTCTGTCCCCGCCTCTTGCATCATGACTGGCCCAGGTTCCCAAAGAACGAAGAACAGTGGAGTGTTCCTTGACCTTCCAGGAAACCTTTTCTCTTGCAGCACAAAGTCCTCTCCTTCCTTTTTGCCCTCCAGCAAGTTTCTCCTCGATCCCTGTCACATCATGCCTGCTTTGAGTCCCTAAGACCCTCTTTTCTTCCCCAACCCCGCCACTGCTCAGTCGTCAGCCCTTTTTCTCCACCAGCCTTTGCTCCAGTCTCTTCCTCTCCTTAGATGAGCCCCCTTCCCCACTATCCCATATCTCTCTCAGCCCCTCTCCTGGTCTTAGTGTAATTCCCCATCAGGGAGTTACGTTCCTTCGCTAAAGCAACTTAGCAGTGCTGAGCGGGACCCTCGGGTGCCCCAGCTGCCTGCATACCCTTGACCAACCCTGGACAGCTCTCTGATCATCAGCGCTAGGGGAGTACCCTCTCTCTGCTCTCTCTGTTCTCGGTTCACTCCCCTGCCCCTCACCTACCAGGCAGAAAAACTGGAGACAGAAGTCACAACAACAACAACACACGTCCCTGCTGCTTGCTGCCTTTCACCAAGGAGACCTCTGACTAATTTCCTCATCCAATTTCCTTTCCACATTACTGTTATCGTTGTTGCTAATGTTATTAGTACTTGGAAAAGGAAACGACTAACTAGGATCCATCTTTGAGGACAAAAGTGAGCAATCTATCCCACCCCTCCCCCCTTCCGAAGAAAAACAAACATCTTGGGTTTGGAGAGCCAGGGGGTTGCTTT